GAATGTACCACCCCTCTCCCTGCAGCTGTGGGGCTTGTCATAGGAACAGCTGCGAGTGCAGCTTGGTCAATGAACTACAAGAGAACCAAGCCCTGAGCTCCACAACCACAGAAAGGATTCTGCCACCAGCGGGAATGAGCTTGCAGCCCTTCCTCCCCAGGTCCTCTCAGGCAGAGTCTCTGGGCCAGTAATCCTTGGTTCTGGGTCTATGAGAAGCAAAGCATGAGCCCAGCTGAGCTTAGTTGGCCTCCTGACCTGGAGAACTTCAACACAATAAAGATTTCTGATCCTTCTTGGCTACTCTCATTCCTAGGGTGGTAGGGTCCACCCCACAAAAAACAGATCTAAAAGAATCTTTGTGGCTTGTTTTTCACCCCCTAGCTCCAGGCTGCCCTAACCTGAAGGCACAGGCCTGTGACCAGCTCTGGAGAAGCTGGCCCTCTGGCTTTCCCTCGGCCATTCTAATATCCCTGCTTATCTCCTAGAGAGATCTGCCCTCTGTTCTGGTTTCCACTTAGTGATACAACTTCTCCTCAACTATCCAGGTCTGGCTGTGGTTAAGAATCTCTTTCAGAGGCAGGCACTGCTGATCTGATGTAAAGGACCCAACTGCTCAGCACACAATGCTAATACTTTACTAATAAAAACCATAGGTTAAGGGGCTGTGGAAGCTGGTAGAGGGCTTGCCCTCTAGGCACATAGCACCAGGGGGTCCGTCCCTAGCACAACATAAACCTGGTGTGGTGCATGCTACAGTCTTAGCACCTGGGAGGTGAGGCGGGAAGATTAGAACTTCAGTGTCATCTTCAGCTACACAATGTGTTGAAGGGGCCAGCCTGAAATACAGGAGACCTGTCTCAAACAACCAAAGTAACCAAACCAAACAAAAAAAAAACCCCAAAGACTTAGGTCAGCCTAGGTGTTTCTATTACTGACAAATAATCATCTCCTCTCTCTTCTCTTTCCTTTCCTTTCCCTCCCTTCCCTTCCCTTCCCTTCCCTTCCCTTCCCTTCCCTTCCCTTCCCTTCCCTTCCCTTCCCTTCCCTTCCCTTCCCTTCCCTCCCTCCCTCCCCCCTCTTCTTTTCTTTCCTTCACAGAGTCTCAGGCTGGCCTTTCAAATCCTTGATCCTTCTGCCTCAGCTACCCGAGTCCTGGGATTACAGGCATGCACCACTATGCCCAATGACAAATTTTAGCTGCTTAACAGTTAAATGTAAATTAGACTTCTAGAAGGTTTTTGGCAGGAAGCAAGAGACCTCATCAAACATGATCAAAGTGTGAAAACAGAATGTAAAAACATGAAATAATAGAACAGTTGGATAGTCTGAAGAGCGACAAACAACATAGTTCTAAATGAGTGAATCCAAAAATGAAAGACTAACAGGACACACTGAAAGCAAAACAGGCTGAAGACAGAACTCAAAGACAGAGCACTCAGGGCCTAGTGTGCAGGGGCGCTGGGTTCTGCCCCAAAAGCCATGAAAAATCAAAATGGGATCAAGCCCTCTTCCCTGTAAGAAGATGACTATCCTCTGTCGGTTTAGGACTGTTGGAACAGCCAGGTACTGTGACAGGTGAGTGGCTAAAACCAGAAGTCTATGTCTGCTGAGAAGCTCTGAGCCATCCAACTGCTAAATAGATGGAAATTGATATTAAACTTGATAGCATCAAACTGAGATTTCTGTCTGAACTCCTGTCAAGGACTGGGGTTGAAGCTCAGTGGTTGTACTGGATGGTTTTATGTTAACTTGGCACAGGCTAGAGTCATCAGAAAGGAGGAGCCCCAACAGAGAAACCACCTCCATAAGACAGGGCTGTAGGCAAGCCTGTAGGGCATTTTCTTAATTAGTGATTGATGGGGAGGGACCAGTCCACTGTGGTTGGTGCCATCCCTGGGTTGGAGGTCCCCAGTTCTATAAGAATGCAGGCAGAATAAGCCAGGAGGTACAAGGCATTAAGAAGCACGCTTCCTTGGCCTGTGCATCAGCTCCCGCCTCTAGGTTCCTGCCCTACTTGAGTTCCTGTCTTGATTCCCTTTGATGGTGAACTGTGATGTGGAAACATGAGTCGAATAAGCCCCTTCCTCCCCAAGGTGCTTTGGTCATAGTGTTTCATTACAGCAACAGTAACCCTAAGACAGTGGTTGTCTCAGTTAGGGTTTTATTGCTGTGAGGAGACACCGTGATCACAGCAACTCTTATAAAGGAAAGCATTTAGTTGGGGCTGGCTTACAGTTAAGACCTTTAGTCCATTATCATCACGAATGGAAGCACAGACATGGTGCTGGAGAGGGGCTACGAGTTCTACATCTGGATTGGAGGCAACAGGAAGAGAGGAACACTGGCTCTGGCTTGAGCATCTGAAACCTCGAAGCCCACCCTCAGTGACACACTGCTTCCAACAAGGCCACACCTCCTAACAGTGCCGCTCCCTGTGAGCCATGGGGGCCATTTCCTTTCAGGCCACCACAGCTGTGAAGCAATGAGCAAGGCCCTCAGTTCCATCCTTAGCACTGCAGAACAAAATAAAAGTCAGACTCAAGAATAACAAACTCGGAAACAATCCCATTTTAACTCTGTAATTATCTTTCCCATTGTAAGCCCTGAGAAGACAGTTGAGGGGAGGGGAATAAACTAAAGTAAGAACAAGAGGAAGTGTGTGGCCCAAATGTGCCACAATGGGATATCATCCACTTCTCACCAAGGTGACAAAAACAACGGTGATCACGGTGATCACGCAGGGACAGTGTGAAAGACCAACGGTTAGCTACAGCAAACTAAAAGGCTGACCCTTTAAATGACCTTACCTTATGCATGGCCATCATTTTAGTACCAATACGATGAACAAAAATGTTTCAACTCAAAGAAAGGGAGTCCAACTAGTAACCGACAAAAAAAATAAGGATTTTATCCAAGTCCAAAGTAAATTCAGTTGACAGGGCAGTAGGATTCACTTTGGACATTTACCAGATAAATGACTGCCGTCTGGGTTCTCTCACAAGGAAAATACTACTGCCTACTCACAGAATTGGTTTAAATATCCCATCAAATACACAGAAGGCTTTCAACATAGGACCAGCCCTTGGCAGACATTCAGGCCACAGCAAAAGCCACTGCTGCCGTTTCCAGACATAAGAATAAAAATAATAATAATAAAAAAACTTACCAAAAGAAAACTATGAAGCAAGGCTAAGTATGCAGATCATAGTATTTTGAATAAGATACAAGAAACAGATCTCAAAAATTAAAAAAAAAAATGCAAGACTATCTGGAAGCAAACTGCCTTCCTACTGAAGGCTACTTTAAAAAAAGAAAATCCAACTTTTAAAGTGGGTATGCAATTGTTTTATTTATTTAAGGTCTTACTCTGTAATCCTGGCTGATCTGGAATTCTCTGACCTCGCATGACCTCAAACTCACAGTGAGCCTCCTGCCTCCATTCCCTGCCCAGCTTGCATGCAATATTTGCAAATGAATTTCCCCCTGCATTTTGTTTCCTAGCTGTACAGTAGTGGTGTTGATGTTCTGAAAGCACATCACATTCACAGGCACCCAGATCTTGGGGACACACACACGTCCTCCATCACCATAAAATGATTACTTAAGTAACTTCTGGACTATCTGGGGAGCCATTTAAGTGCTGAAAACAACTGGATTGGTGTACTGCAGAGGTAGAACATTTACCCAGCACATACAAGGCCCTGGATTCAAACTTCTGCACCACACACATGTGTGAATAATTATGGAGTTATGAATAATAATAAAAATAAGTATATAGAATTATGTTAGAAAGTGGAGCTAGAGAGATGGCTCAGTGGTTAAGAGCACTTCCAGAGAACCCGGGTTCAATTCCCAGCACTCACAAGGCAGCTCACAACCATCTGTTACTCCAGTTCTATGGGATCTAATGCTCTCCTCTAGTCTCAGCACTGCACACACATGGGGCACAGATACACAGGCAGACAAAACACTCATACACACTAAAAAATAAAACAGCCGGGCGATGGTGGCGCACGCCTTTAATCCCAGCACTCGGGAGGCAGAGGCAGGCGGATCTCTGTGAGTTCGAGGCCAGCCTGGTCTACAGAGATAGTTCCAGGACGGGCTCCAAAGCCGCAGAGAAACCCTGTCTCGATAAACAAAAATAAATAAATAAATAAATAAAAATAAAACAAAAAGGGTATGTTAGAAAGTAATCGGATTATAGCTGGAGTGTAAACAAAGGGGCACGGATTTCCCATTCTAGCGAAGTCATCCCAGAGCAGAAGTTATGAGAGCTGCCGCTGCAGTTCCTGCACGTGCACAGCGGCTTGCTCTGCAACTCCTGCTGCAGCGCACACCAGTGCGACTATGAAGCCCCAGCTCTAGAGCAGCTGTCTCCACATCTGGGGTGTCTTCACTAAGATGCCAAGTGAAGAGTGAGACACAAATGCGGGAGAGGTCAGAGCACACTCTGCTACCCTCCTAACTCTCCCAGGCCTGCTGACATTACTGCCAGGCCAGGTGCTGCACCTGGAAAAGATGGAAGAGCCTCAGGCGTTAAGATGGAGTGGGAACCTGAGAAGCCCATTTGTCTTTAGGCTTGGCCCCCTTATCCGTCCTGTCTGGGTACCCTTCCTCCATCCGGGGGACCTAGACTGTGGCCCTGATAATACTTCTCTGAAGACTTTCTGCGTCTTCCCTCCTACACCCAGATTTCTCTGCCCCAGGGTACTCTTCCAGAATTCTCCTATGGAACTCAGATGTTTCAGTTTCCTTCAAACACCTGCTGATGCCTCAGGGCCACTAGTCCCTAAAGGCCCCATAGCACCCAGCAAGTACTGGATATTGGACTAACGTGAGTGAAGGACAGGTGGAGAGACGGGCAGGAAGACAGATGAAGAGGTGACCCAAAGCTGGCAATGTTCTGAGAGAAGATAGGCTCACTCTCTGCCCACGAGGATTGGGCGCCGAGGCCCCTGCGTCAAGACAGTGTGTATAAAGCTGACGGAGAGCTTTACCCAGGGACGCCAGCAGCTCATAGTTCATTCGCATCACATCTCTGTAGAGCTCCTTCTGCTGCCTGTCCAGCAGGCCCCACTCCTCCCGAGTGAAGTACACCGCCACGTCCTCAAACGCTGCAGGGAGCTCCTCGAGGGCCCTGGACGCCTTTAGCTGCTCACTGTCAGGAGGCTCCTGCAACACAGAGCAGCACTCAGATCCCTGCTGGAATGAGAGAGACACGAGGCAGTCTTCTGAGGACACCTTCCTTCTGGGGACCCTACCAAGCCGCCCAGGGATGAATTCCCTGATGAAATTGATCAAATCTATGAGCCCCAGGTAGAACATAAACCAAACTAGCTCAGTCAGATCCAAGGTTCTTCAGGAAAGAGAGAAACTCACAGAACAGCACCTCTGACTGCATGCTATTACTTGGAGACCCATGGTCACCGGATACCCACTATGGTTACAGAGAGGACTGTCTGACTCCAAGGACTACCAATAGGATGAGAAGGAAGCGGAGTTAACAAGAACTGATGGTGCTTCTAACTAAAGAGGGCTTTATGCACACCGTACTGCTAGAATCCTGAGACTCTAAAGGTCAGACCTGTTATTACCTCCTAACACTAAAAAACAAGAAGAGAAGTTTTGCTCTTTCTCTGGATTCTGAAAAAAATTCGGCTACCCAGTAGAAGACTCCTGTGATGCTATCTGTGAGGAATATCTGAGCGACCCACTGATTCCTGACCACCAATGGTTTACTATGAAATTCTACTTGCTTGCGACAGTTGAGAGCTACAGAAAATTCAAGCCACTCAAAGAGCCCAGTGAACAGTTAGTTTCCTTAGCTACAGACTCTCCAGGAAATTGGGTAATCGTGAAATAAATACAAGGTGAACATTATCATCTACTGGGGTTCAGCAGAGCTGTACCAAATGGAAGGAAAGTACCAGGCTGGTCACCAGGGCTCTCGGGAAAGGCCAGTGCTGACCACAACAGCTTGTGGATTATGGACTCCATGAGGTCACTTTTTCCTGAATCTCAGTTTTCTCTCAATGTGGTGAATTTAGCAACGCTTGCTCTACCAGCTCGGGGTAACCTTAGACACAGCTCATCCCACAGCACCTGTGAAAACTCTGTGATGTTAAAAGATACTGAACATCACAACACGGTCTATGCTCAGTTAGTGATGGTGGCCGTTGCTTGCGTTCTGGAGCTGCTCTGAATGCTGGATAAAAATCACCATCCCTTGTATGAAAAGTTAGGACGCTCTCTCTGTGCCATAGATTAGGCTTTGCTGTCCATAAAACAGAAGCTAGCCCAGCAGCTGTCCCAGTTAAATGAGTTAATACCTGTAAAGCATTTAGAGCAATACCTAGCGCACTAAAATAACGTGAGTTGGGGCTGGAGAGATAGCTCGGTGGTTAAGAGCACTTGCTACTCTTCCAGAGAACCTGGGTTCAATTCCCAGCACCCACATGGCAGCTCCCAACACTTATGACTCCAGTTCCAGGGGATCTGATGCCCTCTTCTGGCTTCCACAGGTACTGCACACATGTGATGTACAAATAAGGGCTGACAGACATTCATATACATAAAATAAAAATAATATCAAAAAACAGAAAAACATGTGTGCCCTGGTGACCCTATGATGTCAGTGATGAATATCACTGCTGTTCTTTTTTCCACCATCATTTTGCAATTTATGTCACTTTCAGCATGGAATCTTCTCTGAGGCACAGCAATCAATAACCTATTACCTGGCTGCAGAATTCAATTGTGTCTTTATATAAAGTGCTGCTATTTGAGGGACTGAGGATGTCACTGCCAGTTTCCTTTTGCCTCAAATCTGACATGCAGTCTAGATGCAAAGCAGGGACGGCTCCACTCCCTGGAGGGTCCTCTAGTTCAGTTCCTGGGCTTGACTGGAGCTCAGGTAGGCCATCAAAGTCTCCCAGGGGCCCTGGAGGGTAGAAGGTGGGATAGTCTGTGGTGAAGAGGTATTCAGGGCTGGCCCGGATATCTGCAGAACTCTCCCTGAGATTCTGAAGGTGGGCTGCCCAGATGGGGTCCTTGGCGGCCAGGGCATTGACACAGAACAGATGGGCCTTGCTCCTGGCATGGTATTTGAGAGTTTCCACCTTGAATGGTCCTGTGTAGCCTTCTAGTAATCTTGACCTTCTATCCCTGACTGATGGGTATTCTCGGCAGACAGCACAAAACAGAACCGTCTGTTCCTCATTCATGACCAACCACGGAAACCGGGTGAACCACAACTTCTGGATAGAACAGGGCTTTGGGAGGCTCTTGTTTCTTCCTGTCCAGTCTTCCTCGATACTACTATTCTCTGCGCCGAAGTGGGCAAGGCAAGCTTTCTTTTGAGGTGGTAGGTACAGTTCTTTCTCTCGGGTGGAATCCTGCACATCCACGCAGTTCACTTGTGTTTTTCCTTTCAAGGAAAAGATAAATGAAATTTGAAATACTATGGTCTGAGAGCCATCAAGCATACAAGTGGTATGAGGACACTCAGTCTAACACGATGATACCCCTTCTTCCACACTTACTCTTAAGAATTATCATAACTGGATTTTTGATGTTCATTCACCTGATTCCTCATACCCACCTTGCTTCACCAGCAGGGAATCAAACAGGCATGTTTTAAGCCAACGTCTCATTTAAAAAAACGTTAAAAGGTAAATAGAGACACTGGACCAAATGGACATCGCTGGACTCTGGTCAAGGCCACCTCAGACAGGGGCCCTTTCCTGGGTTCAGAGCTCACTTAGTATAAAACCGAGGACATGGCAACACAGGGTTAAAGAGATGGAGGAACCAGACTGCAGCGGTCACTCTGGAGGAACTTCCTTCTGGGGTGGGCCTGACAGAGAGGCCCTTGCATTCTGCTGAGTACCTAAGCCAAGACAGCCACCTATCCCCGGGCATAGCTGCAGTTCCCAGATCGGTAAACCGTAAGCCACACCGGAATAGAACTGTCTCATCATCTGCAGGGACTGTGCACCAGGCTCCTGGCAGATAGATGCCTGGGCCGTGGAGGGTCCCAGCCTATGTTCTGTATTTTTCCCATCTATACATGAGAGTAATAACGTTTTCATTCACAAATTAGACACAGTAAGCAAACAGCAATGACAAACTAGAACGTGATAATATTGTGATTCAAGTTACAGAAATGCGGTCTCTCCTCTTTAAACACCTTGCTGTACTCCATTAACTGTGGTTGACAGCGGTTATCTAAAACCATGGGGAGATCAGCAATAAAGAGGGTGCACACTGCGGATAAATGGGGCTACTAGAGTTCTATTTGGTGATGCAGATCCTGAGTTTAGGGCTCAGTGCCCCTCTATTACACCACAACCTTTCAGGGTTCAAACCTCTCATGGCCTCATGAAGACTTTTCTTCTTCAAACTGAACTAGAAGTTTCTTTCTTTACAGAAATGAAACTGATTAACTAATTCCCTGGCGCTGCTCCTCAGCCATCAACCTGAGCTTCAGCGGTCAGTGGCCAAGGGCTCTTTTTTGTCCAGTCTAAAACATTGAGCAGGAAGTCACTAACCATCAGGAGCCCCAAATGAAGAGCCATGCAGGGAGACACAAGGAAACACACGGGCCCTGTGTTCCTTAGCAATCACAGCAGTCCAGAGGTGCCTGCGGTCTATTTGAGGAAACCACAAGGAGAGAGAACTCTGTGGCTCTGACTCCCACAGGAGAGTGAGCTCGGCTCTGGGTTCTCACAGGGGGAACTGGGTTAACTCTGTCATCTCCTGAAACAGAGAAGCCACCCTCAGGACTCAGCACACAGCCACTCACTCGCTGTTTCATTCACTCGGTGACAACTTCAGAACTGCTGTATGCCAGGCACTGCTCAGGACACTGAAAATACAGCGGGAAGTAAGACAGTCCCACCTCCTTGGAGTCTGCAGGATAAACAAACCTTTGCCGCATGGCAGAAATCAAGGGAGGGGGTGAGAGGGCAAAGTACAAGGGTGGGGCAGGGGTGTGTGTTCAGACAAGATGGCACCTGTGGAGGACACAGGCATGGTGGGGACCAGGCAGACACAGGGTGAGGCTGGCTCCTAGTATCCCCACTCTGCTCCTTGTCAGGAGCCTCCACACCCAACCACACTCACCAGGATGATGGCTCAGGGGACACCTCTGGCCCTGGATGTTGCCCAGCTATGGCTCAGTCCCTTGTCTAAACTCGTGGAACAGCTTAGGATCAGCAGCAGCCAGGCCGGAGTTGGGAACAGTGAAAAGCCATGAGGGCCTGGCTCCAAATCCTAACACCAAGGGAGGCTCTGCCTGGAACATTCTCCATGTTGTGAGACCATGAGTAGTGTAGGAAAGTGAGAATTAGGTGGGCTGGCTTAGGGGTTTAGAAACTCTGCTGTCTGTGAGACCCACTAAGAGAACAGGGGAGCAGGCAAAATCAAGGAGGGGCAGAGACAAAGCTAAAATGGCATTAAATTGTCAGTTCACAGGCCTGAAGAGACGGCTCAGTGCTGATCACTGGCTGAGCCAGAGGACCCTGGTTCAGTTCCTAGCACACACACGGCCATTCACAACCATCTGTAACTCTAGTTCCAGAGGATCTAACGCTGTCTTCCAGCCTCCACGGACACCTGGTACACACATGGCATACAGACATACATGCAGGCCAAGCCCCCTCCCCATAATAATAAAAGTAAACAGAAGGCAGCCATGTTGGACACAGACCCAGCACTGACACACAATCCCACTTGCCAAGAGATGCCAGAAAGTTATACTTGTACACGAAAACTTTCTGTGGCTCCGTGTTGGCAACTTCAACACTTTGTAGACACCCCAAACTAAAATAGCAAAAGCTGGAATGGCAAAGCAAAGTGCAACAGAGCTCCCACTGTGAGCCAACGCTGGCCTGCGAGCGACTGCTTTGCAACCTGAAGTTTCAGAGTCTTGGTGGCTTTCAACTTTATACAACAGGCATAGTGAAAGGACCCAACCTAGCGACAATTCCACCACTACCCACAGAACGTTGAGGTCACAGCTGCCATGCCTTCATCCAACAAACACAAGTTAATTACCCTCACCCAAAGGCCCAGGGCCACGGGGACTAGGGGTGTACTTCGGTTGGCACGGTGCTCACCTAGAAAGCTCAAGGCTCTGAGTTCAATCCCAGCACTTGGGGAGGCAGAGGCAGGAAGAAATTCAAGGTCATTTGAGGCTTTTTGGGGATTTGAGGCTAGCCTGAGCTACATGAGACTATCAGACTCTGCCGTTTTCCAGACATCCTAGCATTTGCACTGCACTAGGAGAGCACCCTAACCTAAAATACTCCGAAGACTGAGACCCTGCGAGTGCAGGAGGCTCTCTAAGAGTGTCAGAGTTTCCAGTATTGCAGGTTACAGGCTTCTGGACTACAGATACTCGATCTAGAATAGAACATATGTGTGCTCAAACATTTTGAACACAATCACTTCCGTCCTTGGTACAGAACGTAAGACAAAAGCAGAGAAAAGTATATTTAAAAACTAAAACAGAAGAGATGAAGAAAACCACCTACATTTGTACAAAGTTTCTCAGTTCATTTTGTCTCATTAAATTGCCTTAAGGAGGGCTGGAGAGATGGCTCAGTGGTTAAGAGCACTGCCTGCTCTTCCAAAGGTCTTGAGTTCAATTCCCAGCAACCACATGGTGGCTCACAACCATCTGTAATGAGATCTGGCGCCCTCTTCTGGCCTGCAGGCATACACACAAACAGGATAGTGTATACATAATAAATAATTAAAAAAAAAAAACTGCTTTAAGGAGAAAATCAAGGCCTACAAGGTCGAAAGCAACCTCGCAACCTCACATTGAGGTGTGGAACTGGAGAGAGAGAAGATTTGCAAAACCAGTGCTCTGACCACCACTATGGACTCCCACAGGGCCCCGGGGGCTCCACAGATCCACAGGCTGTGGCTCGCTCTGCACTGCGGAAACAGCCTAAAGCCTCAGGCCACCTGACATTCTCTATCTGTCCTGCCCAGCCTAAAAAGAGGAGAAAAGGACTGGGACTGAGGGATGGATAAAGGTTTCTAGAGATACCCAGAGAAACCACAGAATTGCAGAGAATTCCCCAGTACATCCTGACCCAGGTACAGCAGGGATACTGATCGAGACTGGCGGTGGTAGATGCGGGAATCCATACCTAGAGGTACTGTCAACTTGTCGGAAGCAGAAAAGTCCTTCAGGGGCGGACTCAGCAGCATCCATTCCTCCCGCAGCAGGTTCAGTGTGATGTCATCAAAGGTCACAGAAACCTGAAAGGAATATGAGCCCTGCTAAGTGAGTTCCTGAGACACGTCTTCCACACTGGCAGGCAGAGCTCCTATTCCACGAGTTTATGAGTATGTGGGCCACAGTGGGAAGCACTGATGATGTACACACACAACCTGCAACCAATCTCTCCTGCCATGTGAGTGCAAGTGGCCGTGGGATAAAATCAGGAAGCTGCAGCCACTGAACAATCAGAGCCTTCTTTATGAGGCTGACACAAGAAGTCTATATTTTTACATTGTGTGTGTGTGTATGTACGTGTGGGGGGGTGTGTACGTGAATGTGTAGCATAGAGATCAAAGTCAGGTGTCTTTCTCAATTGCTTCCCCTCATTAAAAAAATAAAAAAGCTTATATAATATTTATGCTTATGAACGTTTTGCCTGCATGTATGTACATGTACCACACTAATGCCTAGTGCCTGGGAAAGTCAGAAGAGGGTGTCAGATCCCCTGGAACTGGAGTTATGGGTGGCTGTGACCCACCATATAGGTGCCAGGAACCGAACCTTGAATTCTCTTCAAAAGCAACAAGTGTCCTTAACAGCACAGCCATCTCTCCAGGCCCCAGGTGGGGGAGCGATGGTTTATGATCATTCCCACCATTGAAACAGAATTACTATCATTTGGTATCTGACCTCCCAATGTTTTATCTATGAATATATAAAAATGGAACATTTTAAAAAGCAGTTGTAGAAGCCAGCAAATGGCTTAGCAGGCACTTGTAGTCAAGCCTAATGACCTAAGATAAGTCTCCAGGTCCCAAATGGTAGAAGGAGAGTACCGACTCCTAATACACACACACACACACCATAATAAAGAATGAAACAGTAGTGATGTGATATTATAAAACACTCATTTATAACAAGCACTTGTGCTTGTTATACGTTATGTTACACGTATGTTACACGTAATGCCAAAAACATAAACAAGTAAAAGAAATTCGTATAGAGACCAGGGTTGAGACAAAAACAAACAAACAAAATGCAGGATGACAAGTCTCTGACCTCTACCCATTATCTTACCAACGATTGGCAAGGTATCTGACCGCAATCCAAAAGCCCAAGATTGTTTTTGGTTAATAAATGCCACAAAATAACAACCAAATGGTATTCTGGCAAAGAAACGAAGCCATCGCAAAAGGACTCCCCAATTTCACAGCTCTGCTCAGAATCTGAGTTCATATCTCCCTAGGCCTTTGTCTGCGCCGGTTTGCTATGTATCTTTACAGCCAGGTGCTTTCACGTTTCTCTCATTTTTGGATAATGTTCTTATCTCTCAGGGTAGAAAACACATGCACTTGGGGAGGGCTAAGCCCTTTGGAGACACCCTACAATCCAGACTTGAATAAGGGGAAATTTCTGAGTCTTGAGATTTTCAATTAGTGTTTGGACTTGAAAAAAAAAAATCCTTTGCTTCCTCCAAAATACCTATATTCCTCTCTCCTCTTTTATTAAAGGTCAAGGAAGACTAAAATAAGAGCTTGGAAATTTAACCTTAAATCACTAGTTCTAATCTTGATGTCATTTTTAATACTTCCCGTCCCTTTCCTCATCTGAATTTAAGTTCAACCTAACACAATCTGAAGATATTACCCAAGAGAAATGGCCATTCCTTTTAGTGTGCATGCCTGTGCGTTTTCCACAGTTTCTAGACTGGCCAAATAGTTTTCATTCCTTACAGATTCAACTGAGTTTGCCTTCCCCCAGATTTTCTGTAGACCGCAAGATGTGGGAAATCTCTGTAGCTAGTGGACTGGGAGAAAGGGAGGATGGAAGAGATGCTTAAACAAAGAACTACGACTTGTTCATGGCAGGAGCCTTTCCAGATAAAAGTATGGCACCAAAATACCCTTCTCATCTTTCCTCTCTTCTGTGCCAACCTTTCTGGGCTCATCCAAGTTACTCAAGCGGAAATTACAGGACAGCTCTCTGTGGAACATGGCTCCTTCCTATGGATTCTGTACTCTAACATCTTGTCCGAAGCAAAGCTCAGAGTACAAATGTTTATAAAATGGACACAAAGGAGGTGGAGAGGGACAAAAGGGAGAGAAAGTCTTATAAGCACTTGTAAACGTTTGTTGAAAAACTTCCTTCCATGACCGCCCCCACGCCCAAATATTCAACAAGGGTTGCAAGAGCTGAGGATGTAGCTCAGTGGGTAGAGTCCTTGTCTACTGGGTCCAAGGCCTAGAGTCGATTTGCAACACTCCTAGAGTGCACAGAAGAACTGGATGCAAAAGAACGACGTAAAAGACCTTACTCTTTGGAAGCTGCCTGTCTCTCAGCCAGTGTGCCCACAATCCAGCAGCACGGACACCGTTCCTCGCTCCCGACCACTTTCTACCCTACCTCATGTCCCATCTCCAAAGCCTCTTCTTGCCCAAAGCCTTGAAGATTGCGGAGTGTGTTCTAAGCCATGCCCACATTCTTCATGAAGTAGATAAACTAGAAGTATGCAAGAAAATGCCAGCAGCTCTTTTTCCCTTTCTTGGGAAGGAAGAGCTAAGTAGCACCAGGGTCTCACGCCACTTCTCAGTCGCCCACCCTTTGACTTCCACTGGCGTCCTATCCAGCCTCTATACCTTATAAGCAAGGCTTCCTCCCTCCAAATGCCAAAAGCCAGGAAAGTAAACCAGAAGCACTTTGGCATCACTATGCTTGGCTAGCCCCGCATCCCGGGACCACCGGCAGGGTGGCCACAAGCAGAGGTATGGCTGACCCGAAGAGGGGTCGGAGAGTGGAGCAGTAAATGTCTCCCGGCCAAGGAAAACGAGGCAGGCGGGCGAGCACTTTCCTGCAAGGCTAGCTTGTCCGCTAGCCCAGATCGGGATGCGCGACAGGAGGGCGGCCCCTTGCCCTTCCAGTCCTACCTTCCCCGTCTCCCCGGGCTCCATGGCCAGGTTCTAGCGGTCGTGCAGACTGCCTCCCTCTAGGTCTGTTCCGAGGCCGCCGCGGCCCACTCGGGACTTGAGTCGCCGAGAAAGGGGAGACACGCGGCAGCAAACTTTTCTCTCCCACAGCAGGAGGCGGTAGGGCTGCTGCTGGCTGGCAAAGGTAGTGATGAGCTGGGACTAGAGTTTGCTAGCACAGCGCTTTATGGCTACCGCCTCGCGGGGGCGGAGAGGCTCACGGGAGGTGTAGTCCAGCCTGGAGAGTACAGTTTGGACCAGCTCCTCTTGCTGTGGGTAAGTTCCATTGGCACACAAGTCAGCAGGTCAACAAGATTAATCAAGGGCAATACTTTTTCCTTACATTTCTATTTTTTGTTTCTTAAAAAAAAAAAAAAAAAAAAAAAAAAACACAACACCCAGCATGTCATCTGGTAGCCCAAGATGGCCTCGAACTCCATATTCTCCTGCCTTAGCCTTTTGGTTACAGGCTGGGACATCATGCTGGTTTGTGTGTGTGTGTGTGTGTGTGTGTGTGTGTGTGTGTGTGTGTGTGTGTGTGTGTGTGTGTGTCACACATCACATTTGTGTAGGCACCTCTCTTTATTATTCTATACATCCTATACCTTGATTTTGAGACAGCATCTCTCACTGAACCTGGAGTTGGCTTTTCAGAGGCTGGCCAGCAAGCTCCCAGGATCCTACTATCTCTACACCCCCAGAGCTGGAGTTACAGGAGAGCACTGCCCTGCACACCTTCTATGTGGGTGCTGGGGATATAAAAGTATGCCCGCACAAAGACCTGTACAAAATGTTATTAATAATTTTAAGCATAATAGAAAAAGCAGTAGCAACAAAATCTCTATCCACTGGTAGATAGATAGGCAAGCCATAAGCAATGCCCGACAACTGGCAGATGATAGGCATTTTGTAGCTGCTTCTTGCAACAGCTACTATGTAGCAGTAAAGGGAATGAACTGCTGTTACATGCTGTAATGTCAGTGAGCCGCAGAGTCATCAGGTTAGCTGAAAGAAGCCAAGCGTTTACATGAAATGTTCAGAAAGGGCAATTCTATTAAGTGAGAAGCAGTTTAGAGCTTGTGGGCAGGACATGATGGAAACGTTCTAAAACTGGGGGGAAGTGATGTTTGTGCAACTTTATTTACTGTCTAGTCAAGTCATTAAAGTTAAAGGTAGAATGAATGAATTTCAGGCTGGGTGTGGACCTCCCACAGGTCATCCCAGTGCTCAGGAGGCAGAGGAGGTGGATTTTTGTTGAGTTTAAGGCCATCCTGCTTTATAGTGAGTTTCAGGCCAGTCAGGTCTTACACAGTAAGATCATGTCTTGAAAATCACATGCATGGGCTGGAGAGATGGCTCAGCAGTTATGAGCATTGGCTGCTCTTCCAGAGGCCCAGAGTTCGATTCCCAGAAACGGCATGGTGGCTCACAATCATTTACAGTGAGATCTGATACCCTCTTCTGGAATAAAGGCATACATGCACGTAGAGCACTCATCTACATAAAATAAAGTATTTAAAAAAGAAAATCACAGAGTTTCTTATCTTATAAATTACAGTTCAATTAAACTGTCATCAAGAGGAGGACAGTCTGTATTCTGACGGAATCACACTGGGTTGGGGGACATGACCTGGGACACTCCTGTCTAATACAAGAGCTCTTCAGACTTCTGATTCAACGCTTCCTACAACAGCTGAAGAAACTGGGGCAGTGATGGGGAGTGACTTATTCAAGCCACAGAGCCACGATGATACACGGTGGACCCCCCAGAGCTGCTGCTCAGGTCCAGGCTGGGCTCTCCCTCCAATCCCCTGTTGGGACCAGGAACAGAGACCACACAGAAGTTTGTCAGCATTAGTTGCCAGCATTACTTTATTTGGAATATGCTAATGCCACAGGCTGGAGGTGGGTAAGTGGGCACGGAAGGAAGTGAGGAATGCACATAGCCCCATGGCCACAAGAGAGACCGCAGTGGATGCGTCTGGTGGAGCCTGTCAGTGCTTGGAGAAATCACCACCTGCAGAGAGAATTTTGAGATGGGCTCGTTCGAGGCAGCATGGTCAGGTGGGAGAAAATGGGACAGGGCAGAGGATGGTGAACGAGAGCTGCCTGAAGGCAGTGCAGCGGAAAACCAGGTCTTCTGTGCCCTCCACCTAGCTGAGTTGTCCTTCCTCTGCGTCTCCCTCACACTTGGCATGTGGTGTGACCTCATTTAGTACACATCAGGCATGCAACTTAACCAGGTACTTCGTCTGCATACCCTCCAGAGTCCTCCCACCAAGCCCGTGTTTACATGTACACGTCAGAGCTGTTTATGGGATGGGATCATGAGTACCGACCTCAGCAGAAGACTGAGATTTGAATCAGGTACAATCTACCGCAAACTCCCAAGTTTATGTGTGATTGGAAAGGAAATAAGCACAATGGGGGGGGGGGGTCAGAATAGACTGGTAAAACCAAGGTAGAATGGGACCATCGGCTGTGCATGTTCCTAAGGCCTCCCCTCCTTAAGGAGAATTCTGACTGAGTCCCTCTCCCTCCCCAGCCAGACCCACCCTGGCAGGCACTGCACTGGCAGCTGTGAATCATTGGCAACACCACCGGCTCTGTGTGGCCGTCAGGGCAGTGAAGGTTCAGGATCCGCACAGGGCTGTCAGGATCTAGACGGTAGCTACAGCAGTCACACTGGCTCTGCAGGTAGGGTTCCTGGCCAAGAGAAACTGGTTGAGTGGGCAGGGAGCCAAATGGCGTCTTCGTCCCTTTCCCTGGTCTTGCCCTTCCAGGGGAAGGGCCAAGTTCCAATTGTCCTGGACTCCTGAGGTAGTCTGGTAGGAAGCATCACCCCAGCCCCCTTCTTCAAGAAGCCCACTTTCTTCACTCCATCCCCAGTGCATCTGAACATCCAATGAATGAGCGCATCTAGGTAAGGATGCAGCTTCCACCCTAAGGGGCTTCAAGCTTAGATAGAAAAGGGCTAGTCATACACAAGACTTCTAACAAACCCTGAGTGCACAGTTGGATCCTAAACACTGTGGGCTGCCCGTCCAGAGCTCTCCTCCTGCCCCCAGACTTAATTTTACCTATACCTTCATAATTCTTTCAGACATTCACACAGTTTCAAGTTCAAAAATGGCAAAGGTTATTATCTCTGAACTCTGTTCCTGTTTTCTTTCTTTACTCGTGTTTTGTAAGTTCCAAATGTGTTTGGGGAAAGCATTCTCAGAAGGAGCAGAAGCACCCAAGTTAGGAGCACTCAGGACAGCAGCAGCACAGCACAGAATTAAGGGGTAGCATTTTGGAAGCCAGAGAGAGCGCACCATTGTCTTTCAGCACAGCTAACCCATCCGGGTGGAAGCAGAAGGGAATGGCTCCGGATTAGATATAAGGTGCTGGTGGCCAGGAGCCAGGTCTCCATTCAAAGGGAACCAATGGCCTGAGTTACAATCCTCCAGGTTGGAAACTCTGTGTGTGTGTGTGTGTGTGTGTGTGTGCGTGCGCGCGCGCGCGCGTGCGCGTGCAGGGGGAGAGGTCAGGGAGAAAAGCAGGGTCCAAGGAGAGGAAGCAGAGAGATTCTGGGTTTAACCAGGTATAGACCTCACAGGAAAAGCCTGGGTGAGCCTATCTGTAAAAAGCCAACCCTCCTGAAGTGAGCATGATGGGTCTGGCATCAGTCACTTTCTCTTCCCAAGACTTTTTTTGTGGGTATCTCAACTTATTGGCTTAGAGGGACACAGTGGTCTGGGAGGCATACTCTGGGCATGTAAGTATCCCGCCACCCTGGAGAAGGGCCCTGACACTCCATAGCCCCAGTTCCGTCAGCTCTGTGAGAATGGACTGTGTTCCTCACGTTCTCTGGGTTTCTCTCAGGACCTCATCTGGTGTGAAGCCCTTGGGCTCTGGCTGACCTGCCCGGTGGATCTGTAAGGCAGCCCCCAGCTCACCTCAGTCATGACGTCAGTGCTGGACCTGCAGTGTCCACTACAGTAGCTCACTTCTACCTGATCCAGGTGACAGGGACCCTTGGTGAGGTTTCTGAGCTTGGTGAGCAACTGGCAGGAGGCTGGTTCCTCCTCTGGGGATGAAGGGGTAACGTCAAGACAGAGGAAGAAGCCATGATTGAGGGGCCCTTTAGGCAAAAGACATGTTAGGGCAGAGCCTGGGATGAGGGAGCCACTCTGATCCCCATGCAGGCAAGCCTGGGGAAGATGGGCACACAGCAGGGTGGGTGTGAGACCATAAGGCAGAAAGGTTCAGACCAGAGAAAGGCATTATACAGGTAGCCATACCCTGCACACCCAGAGTGTCCTGTTGACAGATGGGACAACAGCTCCCTGGCTTCTGTACCATCACTTCACCCTACAGGGAGCCATTCATGATCTACTCAGGGGGACATCCCATCACCCCACACTGCCTGTCCAGAAACCCTAAGACCAGCCATAGAGGGAAGGCTACAGGGCCACAGGGTACCTGAGCACAGGTGAGGCCTGGGCAGTGTCGAGTGCAGATGCTTTTCCCACGGAGGCAGTGGCAGCTCTCACAGGCCTCCTGCCATTCAGATCCAGGCTGCGGGGGGGGGGGGGGGGGGGGGCC